GCCCTTGTCTTTGATGGCGTCGAAAATTTGGCTGACGGGGTATGCCAGAGGGACGTGGTACTCGTCCGGACGTATGCGGCTGGCTTCCGGGTGAGCCTTCCACGGAATCATGCCGCCGTCCGTCTTCTTCTTCTTGCTCGGGGGGGATGGTCCGCCTGCAGGGCCGAGCCTATCCGCCAATTTTCGGGAAGGGGCTGCAGGCGCGCCGTCCCTCAATCTGATCTCCTCCTCAATGGAGGCATACTTCTGCGCCCGAGCCAGTACTTCAGTATAGCTGGTGCTGGGATTTCTCCGAAGGTCCCGGTATAGGTCCCCCGTCGCCAGAGCACTGGTGAACAGATTTACCCCCAGCCGCTCGTCCAGATCATCCACTTGGAGTACTTCGTCTCTCCACCTGACCAGGAATTGGGCCAGAGGTTCGCCCTTTCCTTGCTTCACACTCGTGAGCGATGTGAAGCTCTTCTTGGGGGTGGTACTGGCAGCGAATTGTGCCATGAACTGCTGGGACAGCTGTTCGTAATTATCGATGGATCCGGGCCTCAGTTGCCCGAACCATTCTTGTGCCGGACCCCTCAGGGTGCTGAAGAAGAGCCGGCAGATGGCCTCGTCGGATGCCCCCAGCATGGAGAGGTTCCCCTGGAAGCTGATCAGGTGAGCCTTAGGATCTCCGGTCCCATTGTATACTATCCCCTGGGGGGGTCTGCAGTCCCGCGGGATCTCTGCATTCATGACCCTCGGGGTGAAAGGTGAAGTGAGGGAGAAACGCGGCGTAGCTGGGGTGGCCTCCGCCCGTCTATCCATTTCGGCTATTCGCCGTTCCATTGCCTCTAGCCGGGCCTCCTGTGCGGCCCTTCCGGGGGACACAGGAGGGGCGGCCTCGAGCGCAATGTTCCTTCGTGGGACAACCGCGTCGGGTTGCCTCCGTGTGATATGGGCGCCATGTCTTTGGAAACGTCGTCCAATGTTACTGGCGGCAGGGGTGATGGTGGTGCCCCGTTGTTCGGAGGGAACATCCGGCGTGCGCTCCCGATGATCATCCTGCCAACCATATCGAGGGGTGCTGGCCCCGGTGTGCCCTTCAGCCCCGTGGGAGGACGGATGTTGACCCAACCTCATGTGGATGGGCGTCCGACGCCCGGCAGATTCCGCTGTTTCATCCAGGGACTGCATGCGGTGGATGGGTGATATGGGCGTCCAGATGGTGTTAGCTGAGTACACCTCTTCGTTCGCCTCCTGCTCGTCCGCCATTCGGCGCATTGTTTCTGCCAGCTCCCTCATGAGTCGAGGGTCGTGTCTGGCCTCGTGGGGGATGAGGTTTGTGAGGCCGCCCTCACCCCCAGTTGTCCCCAACGTCTCGGAGCGCTCCGTGGTTTGCCCGCGGTTGCTTCGTCCGCGGGACAGCTGTTCGGAGAGGTCACGTTGGCGGTTGTTTCTTGTCATCGTGCTTGCTGCGGGTAGATTCAGTAGCTGTTTGGGAGAGTTTTTTGGAAACTTTTAGTTCAGTTTCCCACAGACGGCGCCAGTGTTGAGGTTTATTCCTTCAACCCTCGGGTCCAACACGTAAGCCCAAGGATTTTGAGTGGAGTGTGTGTAAATAAACTAGCCCAACAAGCAGATAATAGGGGTCAAGAAACAGTAAGGTAGCAAGTAAATGATTAGGTATTATTATCTCTTAATAACTCCCTAATACAATACTCTTCGCTAAGGCTCCGTCGGCCGTTCGTCTTACAGGGCAGTAGAAGTGCTGCGAGTAAGAATGCTATAACTAGAGTGCTAAGAATAGAAAGTTGCCAACCCTTTTCAATGAAATAAATGCTTCTATTTATACCCGCCAATGGGCAGGTGGCTGTGCTGACGTGGAGGTCTGTGGACCGCTTGTGCCCCAACCACCAAATCTTCAGCATTAAATGCACTTCCCGCCAGAATCTAGGTTTCCCGCCTAAATAATGGGCACGTTCGTCCGCCAGGGAAGCGAGCTGGATCGCTCCAAGTGATCCCCAAGAGGTTCCGGCTGTTCGTCTCCTGGCCTTGTGGATTCTCTCCATGTGGACTGGATTTCCTCGGATGACTATAGACTCGCCATGGGGACGTTCGTTGTCATCCGCTGGGCCTGAGCTCCCAATCCCAGACGTTCGTCTCTCCCCAAGGAATGTGGGCCTGCGGGCTGGCCTTGTGGTCTGACTGGACGTACGTCTGGTGAAGGAAGGGTTAGTGGGCCGGACCTCGGCTTGGGCCCTTAACCCAACAAACCAGATTTAAAATTATTATTTCACAAATGAAATTTTAGAATGTTAATTGCATTCTGCAATAAAAAATGCATTAAACAAAGTTTAAATTATTTTATTACAAGTTTGAGGTGCTTGTCTCACACTACATTAAAATTTGAAGTATTTAAATTATTCTCCCTGATTATTCTCCCTAAAAGTAATAATAATATGAGAGAAAATGGAGTTCAAAATTTAGTTGTTATGACCTTGCATGTTTTCCATTGCTCCATTGGTATGACTCATGTCCTCTATTTTACCATGACGATTAAAACTTGCATATGTTTTGAAAGAAAAGTAGATATATCTATTTCGAATTTATACCATCATCAATCACATAAAATTTAGGCGTTACACCCCAAGTAACATTTTTTTTTTCCCGAAGGGGGCTTATATTGATAAAATAACATTCAGATCAGGTTTGAAATAACAAAAGGATCACATGTAACCATCTGCTCTTGGACCAGATTCAGAGTTAATCACATTTGACAAAACAATATAACTCGTTGATCCTAACTTGGGCATAATTAAGCCATCGACGATTACCGCAGAATTCTTATCACCCATTCCTAATGCAAGATTATTACAATAATAAAAGTAATCAATAGAAAAATAAGCAAACTGATCATGAAAAATAAATTGCAAGCAAAGTATAAAATTAAAAAGATGCTTCCAAATCATAGCCTCTCTTGTACTCCATGACAGCGGTTCAGGAGGGGAACGATTCAGCAGCACTGTAGCTTCTTGCTCACCTTGCCTCTTATTCATCATGTTCTCTACCAAGCCTCTTCTGTTGCCACCTAACACGGACAACCTTGAAACCAGATCTGTTCCAGTCTCTAACCCTACACTTCGTCCCTGATCTTGGCCACCGGAGACGAATCATCCATCTTTCGTATTTTCACAACCTTTGATCACCAGACACCAATCATCATCTTCATTTCGCTTAATCTTGCCAAAGCCAAATAAGAAAAATAGCATAAGTCCGTCTGCGACAGCCGCTCCTCGGTACAAACGGTAGCGGATGAAAAAACCCTAACGGTGGAAACTCACACTAGAGAGAGAAAGAGTTGGTTCGCATGTCGATACACCCCTAGTAACTTTAAATAGGCGATATTTTTTCTTTGAAAATTTAAATAGGGGATACCAAAAGGCAAAAAAATATTCATAAATATTTAAGTTCAGAAGGTAAGAGAAAATTGTCAAATAAATCTAGTATTGAGGTGTGTGATCATATGGTATTAAACTATTAATATTTTCTTTTTTTCTCATCCGTTCAGCCTTGTAAAACATAGATCTTTTTTTCTCATGTTCTGTTGAACCAATATGGGCTTGTATAATTTTTATTTTGTCATTAGCTGTGTATTTAGCTCTTTTTTCACTGGTATGGGCCGAGTAACCTAGGGCTTACATATTGTGTAGGGGTGGGATCGGTCCGGTCTGGGTCGGGTTTTTGCTAAACCCGGAAATTACCCGGAAGGTCTCGGGTTATGAAAATTAGGGACCGGAAAAAAGCCCATTATATTCGGTCCGAGTCGGGTTTTTGGTAGCCCGGGTTCGGTCCGGGTTCGGGTTGGACCGGTTAAAGCCCAGACGTGAAATATGTCATTGTTCTTTTATATTTTAACACTTATTTTCAAATAAAATTAATCAAAAATACAAACTGCAAATAATAACACAAATATTAGTCTCCAAAATCACCAACAATTCAAATTTAAAGAAGATAATCATCTTAATATTTTATGTAAGATGTATATATATAAATAATATAGATTTCTTAAAAATATTACGAAATAAATTTTATAAATAAAAAAGTTACTAGAGTTGCTATAAATATATTTTCATGATCATCATTACGCTAAACAAATTCAACATATTTGTAGTCACCAAAAGTTACTAAATCTTTTTTTATCCACCATGATTATAATCATATATTAGGAAATATTTTATTTATATTCATATACTATATTAATTTTATATTAAAACTAATTGTTTCGGGTTTTTTCGGTCCGGGCCGGGTTATATATTTTAAGGCCCGTTAATGAGCCCGGAATTTTCGGTTCGGTCCGGGTTTTTTTAATTCGGGCCGGTTAAAAAGAAAAAACCCGGACCGGGATCATAATTCGGGTCGGTCCAGGGTCGGTTTCCGGGTTTCAGTTCGGTTTTTCCCACCCCTAATATTGTGTATATATACACTTCTCATTATCAATGTAAAGACACGAAAATTCTCCTCATAATTATTTTAGAATCTCACATTTATCATGGTATCAGAGCCACTTGTGGTATCGACATACCACTCTGCGTAAAACTTCATCTTCTTTCTCGGCCAGAGGCATCACCAGCGTGAGAAGCACGGCCAAAAATGGGGGATGAAGCTTCATCACAAATTGACCTAACCCACGTGTCTGTCCTGCAAGTTGAGCCACTTGAGCCACCTGGGAGATTTGATTCGCGTGGAGAAGAAGCACGGGTGCATGTTGTGACACCAATCCTGAGATCAGCCGACTTTGGCAGTAATGGATCGGGTACTAACACAGGCAGTTTGCAAGATTTGAACAAGGATCAGGTGCAGGCTATTTTAAATATTCTTAAACCCAAAACTAACGCCACTGATCACATGATGGGTAAGAATATTTATTTGGATTGGATACTTGACACCGGGGCATCACATCACGTTACCGGAGAATTGACTAGACTCACCGAGGTTACTTCTATTCGGGATTGTTCGGTGGGTCTGCCGGATGGCCGTAATGTGGTCGCGAATTTGGAAGGGTGTGTGTCTATTTCCAAACATTTTATTCTTGATCATGTTTTATATGTACCAGGACTGCGGTGTCATCTGATTTCTATTTCCCAATTAATTGATCAGTTAAAATGTGTAGTTACCTTTACTGATTCAATTTGTGCTATACAGGACCTACACTCGAGGAACCTGATTGGAGTCGGTGAACGACGAGATGGGCTCTTTTATTTTCGTGGATCTTCTACCGTGCATGCCGTTACTGTGAAGCCTGTGACAGAGTTTTAATTATGGCATCGAAGGTTAGGACATCCATCAGACCGTGTAATCAAGTTACTTCCCGTTATTCGTGCTAGTTCCGCCATTAAGAAACTAAATCACGCTTGTGAGGTATGTCCACAAGCTAAACAAGTTCGTGATTCTTTCCCTAAAAGTGACAACAAAGCTAGTGGTATTTTGGAATTAATCCACTGTGATTTATGGGGGCCTTACAAAACGCCCTCTACTTGTGATGCTGTCTATTTTTTGACTCTGGTTGATGATTTTTCCCGAGCTGTCTGGGTTTATTTATTGCGCGATAAAAAGGAGGTTTGTCAATCCTTTATATCCTTTATGGCTATGATTGAAAAACAATTCGGTCGCTCGGTGAAAATTGTTCGTAGTGACAACAGGACTGAATTCAAGGGTTTAATTCCCTATTTCGACGCTAATGGTATTATTTTTCAGACCTCTTGTGTTCACACACCCCAACAAAACGGGAGGGTAGAACGAAAACATCGACATATTTTAAATGTGGCGCGCGCACTGATGTTTCAAGCTAATATTCCTATTTTTTTGTGGGGAGAATGTGTTTTGACTGCTGTTCATGTGATTAATCGTACACCATCTGGATTACTTGGGGGAAAAACACCTTATGAGGCGTTGACTGTCCACGTTCCAGACCACTCTCACTTAAGAGTGTTCGGGTGCCTATGCTTTGTTTATGATCACAGAGCCAAGAATGATAAATTTGCACCGCGTAGTAGAAAGTGTGTTTTTGTTGGTTATCCTCATGGCAAGAAGGGTTGGAAAGTGTATGATTTTGCTACAGGAGACATTTTTGTTTCTCGGGATGTGTTATTTCATGAACATGAGTTTCCTTTTCCCAAAGCACCTACTGATGAGGATGTTTCTGAGGCAGTTCCCACGGCACCATTGATAGATGAGGACTTGCCATCCTCCTCCATTGAGACACACACCTCCCCTACCGCGACATTATCTTCATCAGCTGAGGCTGGGCAATCTCAGGATGGGGAGGCCGAGCCTATCATCTCTCTAGGCCGCGGATTGCGTGAAAAGCGAACATCGGTTTTGCTTCGCGACTTTGTGACACATCACGTGCAACACTTGAGCCCATCTCCGTCTCCACCTGGCTCGACTTGTTCCTCAGGTATGTCCTATCCTATAGCTCATTTTGTATCATGTGATCGGTTTTCTGCCCGGCATCGGGCATTTCTTGGTGCTATTACAGCAGGAATGGAGCCACACTCATTCCGCGAGGCAATGACTGATCCAGGGTGGTGTGCTGCCATGCAAAGTGAAATCAAGGCTCTGGAAGATAATCATACCTGGGATATGCAGCCCTTACCCCCGGGCAAGAAGGCACTTGGGAGTAAGTGGGTGTATAAAATTAAATATCACTCTGATGGTACGGTGGAACGACTCAAAGCTCGACTTGTTGTGTTTGGTAATCATCAGGAGGAAGGCATTGATTATACGGAGACGTTTGCTCCTGTTGCGAAGATGGTGACCGTGCGGGTCTTTCTCGCAGTCGCCGCGGCTAGGAATTGGGAACTACATCAGATGGATGTACATAATGCTTTCCTCCACGGCGATTTAGAGGAGGAAGTGTACATGAAACTTCCACCTGGATTTCGAACCTCACAGCCTGGTCTGGTATGTCGTCTCCGAAAATCTCTTTACGGGCTGCGACAAGCTCCCCGGTGTTGGTTTGCGAAGCTTGCTGCTTCACTTCGGAAATATGGCTTTACTCAGTCTTACTCCGATTATTCTCTATTTACGTGGTGCAGAGATAATATTAGCTTGCATGTTCTTGTCTATGTGGATGATTTGATCATTGCAGGAAATGACTCGGATGCTATCACTGCATTTAAACATTATTTGCATACTTGTTTTCATATGAAAGACTTGGGGCACCTTAAGTACTTTCTTGGTGTTGAAGTTGCACGTAGTGCTGTGGGAATTTATTTGTGCCAACGTAAGTACACCCTGGATATCATATCGGAGGCTGGACTCCTTGGAGCTAAACCTGCCTCGTTCCCTATGGAACAACATCACGGTCTAGCTCTTGCTAATGGAGAACTTTTGGCCGATGCAGAGCCATACAGGAGGTTGGTCGGGCGACTTATTTACCTCTCCTTTACTCGTCCTGACGTCGCCTATGCTGTCCATATACTCTCCCAATTTATGCAGGCACCGTGCCAAGAACATTGGCATGCGGCTCTTCGTGTGGTTCGGTATCTTAAGGGATGCCCTGGACAGGGTATTCTTCTCTCTTCATCGTGTGATTTGCTTCTTTCTGGATGGTGTGACTCAGACTGGGCTAGCTGTCCTCTTACGCGACGTTCTCTTTCTGGATGGGTTGTTTTTCTTGGTAGCTCCCCTATTTCTTGGAAGACCAAGAAACAACATACTGTGTCCCGATCCTCTGCCGAAGCAGAATACCGTTCCATGGCATCTATTACTGCAGAACTCAAATGGCTTAAGGGTCTTCTTCTTAGTCTCGGCGTTGTCCATTCTCGTCCCATGACTCTTATGTGTGATAGCAAGTCTGCTATTGATATTGCACAAAACCCGGTATTTCATGAACGGACAAAGCATATTGAAGTTGACTGTCACTATGTTCGTGACGCTTTGCAGGATGGGTTGCTCACTACTCACCATGTTTCTACGCACGATCAGCTCGCGGATATATTTACCAAGGCGCTTGGAAAGAACCAATTTCTTTATCTTCTTCGCAAGTTAGGCATTTGTGATCTGCATGCTCCAACTTGAGGGGGATGTTGAACCAATATGGGCTTGTATAATTTTTATTTTGTCATTAGCTGTATTTAGCTCTTTTCTCACTGGTATGGGCCGAGTAACCCAGGGCTTACATATTGTGTATATATACACTTCTCATTATCAATGTAAAGACACGAAAATTCTCCTCATAATTATTTTAGAATCTCAAATTTATCATGTTCTCTACAAAGAGGTCGATGTTGATCGAGGGCTCCTCTCAAGATGCAAATTTAGTCCCACACACGACAATTTAAAATGAAATCCATTTCTCTTTCTTCATCTTCTTAATTTTCCTTCTCCAAATAATTCGAACTTCGTCTCTTTCTCATATCATAACTTTTGATGTTTTAATTTTTCTCATTTTCTCTTTTAATGATTGAAATTTTAGCAAACATAAATCAATAATAGGAAGTAGTTGTCACTTTGTTAGTGCTTTGTGTGAATTACTAAAAAAACACTTGAACCAAATCTTTTGATCTCAATCATGGCCGGTCCTAGGGGGAGGGCAGCAGGGGCGACCGCCCCAGGCCCGAAAAAAAGTATAAAGAAAATTAGGCCCAAGTTTTTTTTGCTTTATATATAATCTGAGTAGGCTTCTTTTTTATTTATAACTTCAATTAATTAATTAGGTCCAATGTGTGATTTTGTTGATCATTTGAGAATTTTAGAACATAACTAAAAAGTCTTGAATGGAGCTAGACAAGTTTTTAAAAAAGAATATAAATTTAGTTTTGATTTTTAATTAAAGTTGGTTGTAAGTCAACACATTTGTTATTGAATCAATAAAAATATGTCTCTTCACATCTTTTTAGCCTTTAAGATTTTTTATTCTTTTAATTACAAAATTACCAATTTATATTATTGTTTGTGGGCTGCCGGTGCCTCCCAATTCTCAATCATCATCCCAATTATCCATTATGCCTCAAAAAACTTAATTGATTAGCAATTTTAAACATTGCACATAAAATCTTTGGAAAAGATTGATTGTAAAGAAATTATTGATGATTTTACTTCACAATGTTCTTTTGTGATACTTGTTACTTTTGTCCAAATATAAAATTCAAATAATATGAATGTGAATTTCATCTTTATTTTATAATCTTTATTAGATAGTTGTAGGGAGAATTCCTTAAATAGGAGTATCTTTTTAGAATTTCAAAATAGGATTGTCATTTGTTTATTTTCTGAATATGAATATACAAACGTTTTTTTTATATCATATTTAGAGTAATTTCTCACAGTTTTATTATACTCCGTAATTTTTACTTTAAGTAAGTATAGTTTACTGTTTATCTTGGAAATAAGGCCAAAATAGTCTATCGCCCATGGGCCCAAAACTTAATAGAACCGGCCTTGATCTCAATGTAGGCAATTTAGGAAACTTTCGGTTAGTGGCATTGCCTCATTTCTACATTATTCAGTAAAAATATTAGCTTGTGCGTGTATACTTTGCTTTTTGGGTTCTCAAAGGACAAAGAGGGAGAATAGGCGCTTGAGGTGTTTTTGAATGAATTTTTTTTAGATCTAATAATTTTGGTAAAAATTATTTGCACAATACTTTCAAAATATATTATAAGTATGCACTTGAGCATTTGATGAATACTATTCTTTCGCAATTTGATACTTGAAAATCAAATTATTAGGCAAAAACGACAAAAGTTATAGAAACATGATTAGCTCATTCAATATACATCATTACATAAATCTTCAAAAAAAAATATAATCTCAAAAAAATCTCAATTGAATAACCGAGCGCGAAACAAAGTGCATTTTTAGAAATCAAAGAAATCGTGTTATTTGTTGCGGTTATAGCCGGAAGCGCCGCAAATAGAGTCATTGGTTGTGGTCCGGCTATAACTGTAGCAAACAAAGTTTTTTTTTTTATAATTTCAAATGCACCTTGTTCCGTGCTTGGTAATCAGATCAGGGTTTTTTTTGTTTGTTAAAATCCACATATTTTGTTGAGATGTATGCAACGATCGACGTATTTTATTTTGGCTAAAGGGTCAAATAGACCTCCGAACTAATTTAAAAAGTGCAAATCAGCCCTTATTTTTTGAGCATCTTCTTCATTAAGTCTAGTTCACTCATACCAAATTTCAGCTAAAAATACAAACTGGAAGGCAGTCAAATGAATTGTTGAAGATAACTGCGCAGTTAAACAACACAGTACATTTCAGTAAATCATTTGACTATCTTCCCGGTTGAATTTTTATCTAAAAATTTGTATGAGTAAACTAGACTTATTGAAGAAGATTCTCAAAACATTTCATCAAAAGATCCTACCGGGAACCGCCCCAAATGGCAACGGCCGGACAGAGCCTCTTATATAAGGGGTGATTTGCACTTTTAAGATAGTTTGAGGGCCTATTTGACCCTTTACCCTTATTAGAAAAAACTACACTTTTTTTTATGCCGTTGTAGTTATAACCGTAGCAAAAAGTATAAACGCAACAAAAAGTGCAAATCGAATACCTATTTGATGCGGTTGATAAAAGTATAAACGTAACAAAAAGTGCAAATCAAATACCTATTTGATGCGGTTATACTTCAACCGCATCAAAAAAGTCCTAGCAACATATTTATTTGATGTGGAAGGAAGCATAAAATAACAAATATTCTACGAGTGTAATATAAATGCTTTTAGAGAAAAGAAAAGTTACTACTTTGTCAAAAAATGTGATTTATTTATGAAACATATAGTTGAAAAAGTCAAAATCAATTTTAAACACTTAGGAACGTAACAAATCTCTCTAAAGAGCCTCCTTAGTGATCCCTTTTTTCGATTTATTAGGCTTATTGATCAATTTTTACACTAAACATGTAACTTTTGATTTCGCGCGGCGAATGTGTAATAATTAGAAAAAGTAAGGTTGAAGTTGCTTTTCTGGTTGTATTGACTGAAGTTACTATAAAAGACTATTTTAGCTATTTTCATGACTTTTTTTCTTTCATTTTATTAATAAAATATATATTAAATATAATTTTTCATAAATCAGTAAAAAATCAGCCAATCCAACTAATTGAGCGAGAATTTCATAAATTTTAGCTGAACGGCGGAAAGATTTATGTATTTCCAGATGGGTTATTAATAAAGTGCTTTAAGTTTACACTTCCACAACACATTAATTTTAATTAACTTATTTTAAAAGGCAAGAACTCTTAATTTGAATAGATATTACCCAAAATAGGACTAAAAGAGTTAGAAAAATCCAAAATAGGACTGCTATGTTTTTATCCCCAAAATAGGACTAATTACTATTAGGTTTTGGCAGTACCAGACTTCAAACATGGCAATATTTTCCAAACTTGGCAGGAATTACTTCTATTTTGGGAATAAAAACATGACAGTCTTATTTTGGAATTTTCAAACTTTTTTATTCCTATTTCGGAACTTTCCCTAATTTGAACCAAAGGCACCCAGAAAGACAAAAAACCCTATATGGCTAAAGGGTCAAATAGGTACATGAACCAACTTAAAGTGTTCAATTAGCCCCTTATATAGTATGTTCTGCCCAGCCGTCGCCAATTGGGGCGGTTCCCGGTGTAAGTTTTTGGTGACATTTTTTGAGCATCTTCATCATTAAGTCTAGCTTATCCATACCAAATTTCAGCAGAAAATTAAACCGGGAAGGCAGACAAATAATTTTTTGAACATAACTGCCCGTTAAACAAGGCAGTACATGTATTTCATCGGGTTTAATGCACCAAACTCCCCTGTGATTTGGAAATTCGGCGCATTAGCCCCCTTGTGATTTAAAAAATGCGTCAAACCCCCTTGTGTTTTAATTAATCATGCGCCAAATCCCTTATGTGAACAAATTCAATTGTCAAATAAAAGAAAAATGATTAACATTTTTGTATGATTCAGAGATTTTGACATATTTATTTGCATATTCAATCAAAATATTAGGAAAAGTGATTTTCAAATCATTAAATTTATTCATAAAGGGGGTTCTGTGCATGATTAATTAAAACACAAGGGGGTTTGACGCATTTTTTAAATCATAGGGGGTTAATGCGCCGAATTTCCAAATCAGAGCGGATTTGGTGCATTGAACCCGTATTTCATCATGTATTTCATCATGTACCTATTTGACTTTCACCCAATCCTATATTGTTCTTAATTTCACGATCACATGTCCAAGAGCAAGCGTTTGAAAAAGGGAAAGCAAGCGTAGGACAACGGCTTTGCCGGCGTCACTTCGGTCAGTGGTTAGTCAAGCTTTTATATGTGAATTAGCCTGTATTTTGTTGCTCTTCTACTTCATGAGCGACAAAAACTTACCCAACCCAACAAAACCATCTGGAGAAATTGATTTTGGGGGAGTAGGAGATTTCGGAGCTAATAATGTGCAAATTCTTTCAGAGAATAATGATGCTTCCAATAAACAGATTAAGTGTTCAATTGATAGGCTCAGTGCATTGCCAGATTGCTTAGTTATTCACATCCTTTCTTTTCTGGGTTTGGAGAAAGCTGCTATTACGAGTGTTTTGGGTAAAAGATGGAGATATCTTTGGGCAGAGTTGCCCAATCTTGACTTCTATTTCTGGGGGAGCAGTAATGATGGAACTAAGAAAATAAGTGACTTTGTGGCGTGGGTTCATAAGACCCTTGCTACTCGTAATGCTAAGTATCTGGAGAGGTTGACAGTTAGGTTCCCCTACCTCGAATGTTTTTCATCCGATGTTGATAGCTGGCTTGAGTTTGCTTCAAAAAACGAGGTGAAAAAAATTGATTTTAACCTAAGCTCCACGGATTATTTCTATACTCTTTGTGACATGATGTATTCATACCCTTCCTTGACATCATTGTCATTGAGTGGATGCATTTTGAATCCTAAAACAAAAATCGAGTGGCAGTCTTTGACTTCATTAGAGATTTGGGGTGTGGATTTGCCTCAGAATGTGGTTGAAAAAGTACTATCATGTTGTTCAGTTTTGAATATCTTGACTCTGCGGGCTTGTTGGGGATTTACTTGTTTGAAGATAAACTCCCCAAATCTTTGTAAGCTTCGAGTGCATGACTCCGACGAAGAAGAAAGTGAAAATTTCCTTGAGATCTCGGCACCCTATCTAAAATCTTTGGTTCTTTCGCTGTATCCTATAGAAAGGAAGTTGAAGCTCACTGACCTTTCATCTCTTGTTAGTGCTCAGTTTAGATTCGCTGGATAC